TAGATAAATAATATGTGTGTGTGTGTGTGTGTGTGTGTGTGTGTGTGTGTGTGTGTATATATATATATATATATATATAAACAACACTTTTGCTTTTACAACATTTCAGGTGATTTAGTTTTATACTATATAAGAAGGAACTGTACTGAAAATGAAAAAGCTTTACGTTTTTAATATAAATTTATTATTGACTTTTTTTTTACACAGGAACATGTACATCTATTTTACAATAATGATGACTGATATGTTTTGTACACTGAACAGAAATACTACGCTTTACATAATTTTGGCACATTTTCAACTAAAGCTACAGTTATACAACACTATATTGAGATATATTCCTTGTTTTTACAATTTGCACTTTAAAAAAAAAACATACAAAACTGAGCGGCAATATCCTCACTTAAATTAACTCTTCACCACTTACAAACAATATCCTCTCTTAAATTAACTCTTCACCACTTACAAACAATATCCTCACTTAAATTAACTCTTCACCACTTACAAACAATATCCTCTCTTAAATTAACTCTTCACCACTTACAAACAATATCCTCACTTAAATTAACTCTTCACCACTTACAAACAATATCCTCACTTAAATTAACTCTTCGCCACTTACAAATTATACTTTAACCACAAGCAAAAGAAATATTTAACCATCTAACATAAATAGTCTAAACAGTTATCTCCAAAACTGATATTTTAAACCTTCAAGAATTAAGCCTTTTCACATAAATAGTCTTAACTTTTACAACCCAAAAGAAATATTTTTAACTCTCAAGAACAATGTCACAAAAAAACTATATATAAACAGACAGAAAATTTTAAAAGTTTATACACTTTGATGATTTGTATTTTACATAAACTTTTTTTTTTCTACTTGTAACACTTTCAACAGAAATTCTAAGAAGGGGAATTAAAACACACCTAAGAAGGGGGAGTTAAAACACACCTGTTTACATTGAAGCAAGTTATGCTTTAGTAACACTGCTACTAAAGAGCTATTCATGTGGTTATAATTGACACATTATGTGACTGTACAGCCTGTTTCAGGTACTGGTAGAGTGTATGTGGGAAAGGTGGAATGCTTTGAAACAAACAGAGATCAATTAATCTGTTAAAAAAAAGGTTTTATAATAATTTGCAAATCAATGAATGTAGATTACTCGATGTGTGTATTAATTTTCTTTTAACAAGATATATTACTTTGGTAACCAAGAACTAAAAAGTTATAAATGTAGACCACATATAAATGGTGGTTTGTTGACAACAACACAAAAAAAAAAGACTTTGATTTATTATACAACTTTAGTGCATCTATAGTCATTTTTGACAAAGTTTGCTGAAAATTGACATTATCTGAGAGAAGTATGAAAGAAATTTGCTTAATGTTATTTTTAGCCATGCAAAAATCCTAAATTTCAAAATAAACAAAAGTCATTAGGATTATATAGTTTTCATGATTAAGACATAAAAATAGAAGAAAATTGGTTTCTGTTACTCTTATACACTGAAATACATATTATCAAACGACTGTGAATTCTGAAAAAACAAACATTATTTGTATGTTTTGCAATTCATATCACAAAAAAAAAAGAGAGAGAAACCTTTACCAAGAATTGAATAATTATTATAATTGTAATCATACTTTTAATGAAAGTAGATAATTAGGATTGCATGTTTTTAAATTATCAAGCTTAAATAGCAAAAAAGTTCCTTCTAAGAAAACACCCAATGCTTGAGACAATATGCAGGAAAAACGTTTTTTAACGTGACAGTTTCATTAGAGAATACGGGGTTATCTAAAGTTACTTTGCATCATTAGACACAACTAAAAACAACAGAACATATTTACTGTGTAATAAATATTTCTACGTGAAAGCTATAATAAAACCATATATGTGTTTGATTCACCAATATCTACTTACAAAAGTGAGTTGTTCTCTATTAAGAGTAGTACATGTTTTTTGTTGTTGTTGTTCACTTGATAGCTGTGATCAGGAAATAAATGAAGCACCAACATAATTCTACAAGTTTTGTTGATGAATTCAATTCACATTCTTACTTCTAAAACTTCATGAAAAAGAGTCTTTATAAAAACGGGTGGAAACATAATGTAATAACTTCATGAGAAAAAGAGTCTTTATAAAAACAGGTGGAAACATAATGTAATAACTTCACTACATATACACTTTTCATCCATTACTTCCATGAAAAAATATTCTTTCAAAAATTAATTTAGTAAAAACAAACTACAGGTAAAGATTCTTTGAATTTCATTAGAAATTAAGTAAAGAATTTAATCAAAAAATACATCATACCTGCACAATAAATAACATAAATAACTGATCTAAAACATCAACAGCTACTACATAATTATTGTTTAAATGTTCCAAAAATTTGAGCAAATAGCTTGAAGAGCAATTTTGATTGAAACAATTTCAAAAATGTAACAGTTTTTGCAACAAGAGAATTCTACCCTAAATTTGTAAAGAAGAATTCAATAAAGATAAATGGTGGGTTGAACTTACTGTTAATTCTTATGGACGTTTGAGTCAGAAATATTCAAGATTCTGATGATGAAACCATTGAAGTAACAGATTATATTCTAAGTTATACCAATTAAATATGAGTAGCACTTGGATTAAATACAAATACAGCACACAAAGAACAACTTCAAAGACAAGCACACAACAAATGAAACATTCATGTGCTTTAAAGATATATGACAGAATTAGGCAGATATTACATCAGTTCAACTAAATCTACTTTGGAAATTATTTTAAAACATTTTATGCTAAAATACAAAAAGCATATATGACTACAGTCAATTTTATTTTGGTGAAACATTACTTAAATCATGATATCATGCAATTTATTAAAAATTGGTTATGCATTAAATTAATTTCCATATTTTATGATACAATCATAAATTAATTTTATTATCTGTTATTTGTTGCCATCTAATTTTTCTTTAATGTTTCAAACACATGATGGTTCAAAAGTCTTAGTCATTATCTACAAACCATAAACTTAAACTTTTGGAACTCTTGGGAAATATAATTTACTTTAAACAATAATAAACCACACCAAAAAATTGTTAAATTTAACTGCTACACAAAATATGACCCAAGTAACACAAAAATTCAAAGAGAGTCAAAGAAACAAAAATTTTTTCCTTCTACAAATAGATGTAGTAAAATAAAACCTGTTTAACTTAAAACACAACAGAACACTTGTCAACAACAAGACTGTAAACAATACAAATAAATTAATTATTTTATAGAGGTATTTAGTCACATTTCATTTATTTTTGATAAGTTATTCATTAAAACAAATTCATTTGTATTCATTTCACCAGATTTATGTAACTGAATAGAGTTTATATTTTTAACATTAAATTTATGTAACTAGCATAATCAAACTTAAGATTTTTTTCCACTTAATATCTAGAAGCCAGTATAGTACTTGATAGAGCAAAGTGTAACAAAACTACCAACAACACAAGTTTGTTTTTCTCATAACTCAAGTACATGTGTATAAAATAAAAAAGGCAGTTTTCTACCACTCTTTTTACTTAGAATTATATATCAGTTTCAACTGGGTGGTAGCACACTGCAGGATGATCACTTATTGACCTCTGTGATGTAGTTCGACATGGAGACCCCATTTTGGAGGACAGTGGAGACTTTATGGGAGAAGGGCTTCGAGAGGAAAAGGATGGACTCCCTTTTGAATAAGGAAAATCTTTATGACTATCAATTCGTTGAGGAGGTGGTGGAGGAGGTGGAGCTAAAGAATCCACATCTAAGCCACCCAACTTTTTACTTACCAAAGCTGCTACTTCCAAGTTGTTAAATTTCTCATCTGAAGTCAAGCCAAATAACCTTTCCTGAAATAAAGGGAATATTTTGTATTCCATATTAAAAGTTGAAACATTGAAAAACCTTAACTTGATAAAATTATTATATCTCATGTACTTAAAATATACCAAAAAATTAAAAATCAATTACTAGTGTTGGTTTTACATCGGTATATTTGAGTTACATATTGTTACAACCAAAAACAATGTATGTATTTTAAAACTATACAATTCAGATTATAGTCAATAAAATGTGGGAAAAGTTATATATATGGCAGCATGCTTGAGTAGCAGCAAAGCTGCTTTCTACCAAACCTGTAGTTATCCTGATTACACTTTTCAGGCTAAGTAGACTGTCTTATTGATATAGGGTTTCTCATTTTACTTTTAAAAGAAAGTACTTGGAAATTGGGTAACTTTTTTTTTCCTACTTTCTTTTTATTGTAATTAATCTAAATTTGTTTGCATATCAGATAGAGTTACATTTTTTAACTTTATTTAAGGATTATGAGTAATGGGAGAGAAAACAATTTTAGAGGTACTGAAAGACTGAGTCTCATTTAAACTTGGTCTTAGATCCTCCACCTTCTGCACCTTAAAACTATAATTCAAAACACAGTATTTAAACTTGCAAGTACTTAACCATCATTAAGCGAGACTGAAAGAGAGAATCTTTAAATCATTTTCTAAACCTATTGTTTAAGAAAAAAGAAACTAACCAAATTATTTCCACCTTTTATCGTTAAAACAAACTTATTGTGGTCTTTTTTTCTTTTATTCTAGTTTGTTGTTAAGGTATTAAATGTCTAGCTGCATTATTTTTATGTTCAAAGTACAACTGGTTAAAATTCTGAATGAAATGATCAGCATGAAGGATCAATAGTTGTAAAATAACAACTAAAATAAAGGCCCAACAGCAGTTATAAATGTTCAAAATAATTTAATGATTTGGAATGGGTTTTTATTTGCAAATAAAATACTAAAAGTTAAATAACTGAGCTACAAGCAACAGTAACAACATAACAGTAGCTTCAAGCATACAGTCTTGCTGATATAGAACGACTATTAGTTTCAAAAACAAAACAGTTAAGTGTTTTAATGAGAGTCAAATGATTCCAATAAATGTTACAAATAAAATGTTTTATAAAATCACATAAAATATAACAGTAGACAAAGACTGCAGTAAACTTGAGAACATTCACAGATAATAGTTAAATCATGACATTATCTTTGTACATGAATTGCAATGCATGGAAGTTGATCAATCATGAACACTGTTGACATCTCACATCTTATTATACTTTTAACAGTTGAATATAGTATTCTTTGACAATAAATGTATTTTCATAATCCAAAGGTTATTATAAAATAAAGTGCAAACTTACTGATTACTGGAATTAAACTTAACAAAATTCAGATACTTCAAAATATTTAAAAGATATATTAAACATTACTCTTATTAATTATAATTGTTAGACACACACACACACATGAGTGGAGTTTGTTTCAGTGTGTATAATAATAACATGAAAATAATAACTTGTACAAACATAATAAACATTATTATCAGAAAAAAAGTAATCTTACCAATACAAGTTTCATAAACCTGAATATAAATTTGACAAAAATATTTACTTTCTCACACAAGTTACCTCATTGTTATCGTATCGTAGTTGTTTACCCCAACCCCACTTTTTATCTGCTTCCACTTCTGTAGAAGAAGTGCTGTAAGTTGGATTTGAGAAGGTCAAGGTTGGATCTACCTCCTGGACTCTTCTTTTCCTAGAAAACACAGTTCAGTACTAGTAGTGTGCTGGTGAGTGCTTAGAGGACTACTTTTAAGTGAAAATGGCTTTTATCAAAGTATGCTAATTAAAAACTATTGAGGAGACAGTATAAGTTTGTACAGTTTCATAAATGTTTAATTCATTTAAACACATCTGAACATTTTAAATTACTAAATCAGTAAATAGCATTAAAAAAAGAAAATTATTTGTTTAATATAAAAACAATTTAGTTCAGAGTACAATTCTGTGAAACTTTTAGTTATCTTGTTAAGCTTTTCAAATCTGACCACTAGAAAACTGACAGTAACTCGAGATCAAATCAATAGAAAGACACTTAAAACTAAAACATATAACAAAACAATCATAGTTGTGTCACTTTTGTTTACTAAAACCATCTCGGTCAATAATATTTTTAAACAAGAAAAAAACACTGTGAGAGAGGGGTGATTAAAACCTCTCAGAAACAATGTACCTTAGTTTATAAACAATTTTAAAGGTATTAAAAACTCTGTTTTGTACTGTTCATCATATATTCAAGTTAGCATCCTTCCCATGAAAACTAACTGTCTGATCCATGTAAAATAAAAGATAACTATTACAGTCTTACAGAAAAAATTTACCAAAAAAATAAGTGGAGAAGAACAACCAAAAACTACAGTAATTTTTAGATTTTCTTTTTATGTCAAATGTTGAATCAAAAGGTAGTGAAAAATATGCAGATAGAATGTTGAAGAAGTTGCAAACACAAAATAGTTAAAACATCTATAAGAGAGAAAATGTGGACAAACTATTATCTTGTTTCTGTTGTTGGATGTATAATGGTACAAATAAATTCTTATACAGGTTTCATGCATTATTTATTACTGCACTAGAAAAGTATTTTTTGAAAACACTTGCTCAGGAAAGAAAAACTGTTCTATTCAACAATGGTGTTTCAAGCAACTTTTTTCATCAGGCTTGATATGAAAAGTAATGAGGAAAAGGAAAACAAAGTCAAACCTAAATAGTTGCTAAAGATATAAAAAAGAGTAAATCAGGGATAACTGCAATAAGTTTAAGAGGTTTCAGCTGAAGGATAGGTGGTTTAGAGAACTATAGGAAAGTTACGGATTTGGTTGAAATCAGGAAATCCACAAGAGCTTACGAGAATCAACTGACTGATAATTTTAAAACTATCAGCAACGATTTATTTTTTTTAATTATGATAAAGGTAAACAGAAGGTTAAAATGGGAACTGGGCCTTTAAAGGACATTGATGGAATGTGGCTTTATTGAAAACTGAGATATCAGAGCTTTTGAATTTTTTCTTTCGTCTGTTTTCAAAAGAGGATGTTAGCATGACTTTGAGCATTCTATGGAAAATAGTGGGATTGACCAGAATCATGTAGATATTACATTCTTAGTGGTAAAAATAAAGACTGACAAACTAAAAATAGATAAACAAACAGGACCAGACAATGTTTTTCCCAGAGATTTAAAGGTCAACAGCCAGATATGCAAGCCTCTCTCTTTCATTTTTGATTGATCAGAAGACAGTTGGTAGGTGCCCAAGACTGGAAAATTACTAATGTTACTTCTGTTTTTAAAAGGGTGTTAAACATTGCCCTAGAAATAAGACAAATTAGTCTTACTTCTGTAGTGTAAATATTCTTGACAATTTGATAAAAGAAGCTTTAAAATGTTTAATACAATGAATAGACATTACTTTTTCCACCAGATAAAAACTTGTTTAATATCTTACAAAGAAGTATTAATGGTAGATTATGAACAATAAAAATGGAGTATGCAAGCACATTAACTGAAAATTGAAATTCCAATTACATGTAGCATTCCATAAAATTAAGAACACAAGCTATGCTCAATCTCCTAGTAAAATACAATACAACAACATTGAAGAGGATACACTGTTTTCAAGGATGTTACATGTTAGCTGGATGGTGGAAAGGATGTGAGAGTTAGAGAAAAACTAATAAATACAATTATAGGATGATTGGAGAACAGAAAACAAAAAGTTGTTACTAAAAGAGTCCAGTCAAATTGGACCCTTGTCACTAGTGAAGTGCCTTAGAGGTCAGTGCTTGAGTCTTTGTTTTTTGTTACTTAAATTCAGTGATATTGATAAGAGCATAATAAGTAAATTTTCCTGATGACATTGAACTCTTGGATATTTCTAGTTGTATTATGAATGTAGAGGTATTACAGAATGACTTGGATATTTGGCAAACAGGAAATCAATAATTTCAAGAAAAATAAAGATGTTTTTATAAATATGTTTTTATTTTTCCTGAATGATGAGTGTGCAAGGACAGCCTTGAAAGAACAAATGTTGCCTTGTTGTCAATATGCTTTCTTATTTCACTCAGATATAGTACAAAATAGGTTTAGCATATTTCCATATCCATATAACTACTATCCAGATTATAAGAAAATGTCACCCATCAGGCTGTTAAGAACAGAAAAACACTACATCCTACACTCTTAACAAAACAATAAAGTCATTCTCACCTCCTCCACAAAGCTAGAGCAATAACTAGCAGCCCAATAAGAGCTAATAACACCACACTGAAAGCTATATAAGCAGATTGAAGTGCAGAATCTGAAAAAAAACAACAAAAAACACTAAACTTCTGATATCACAATCCATGTATATTTAACATTTATTGTAAAAGAACTGTTTGTGTACTAATTTTGTTTAAATGTGAATAAATATTTTTGGAACATTTCAATAATATACACCTGGAAAAAGTTAAGCACCCCCGTGTTTTTTTCAAGTGATTCAGATTCGACGTTCTTGTGACTGATTATAAATTACCATTCAATCTAAACG